CTCAATGCTGTCAGTACAGTAATTAGGTTATCTTGTTACTCAATGCTGTCAGTACAGTAATTAGGATACCTTGTTACTCAATGCTGTCAGTACAGTAATTAGGTTAACTTGTTACTCAATGCTGTCAGTACAGCAATTAGGTTACCTTGTTACTCAATGCTGTCAGTACAGTAATTAGGATACCTTGTTATTCAATGCTGTCAGTACAGTAATTAGGTTACCTTGTTACTCAATGCTGTCAGTACAGTAATTAGGGCACCTTGTTACTCAATGATGTCAGTACAGTAATTAGGGCACCTTGTTACTCAATGCTGTCAGTACAGTAATTAGGTTATCTTGTTACTCAATGCTGTCAGTACAGTAATTAGGGCACCTTGTTACTCAATGCTGTCAGTACAGTAATTAGGGCACCTTGTTACTCAATGCTGTCAGTACAGTAATTAGGTTATCTTGTTACTCAATGCTGTCAGTACAGTAATTAGGGCACCTTGTTACTCAATGCTGTCAGTACAGTAATTAGGTTATCTTGTTACTCAATGCTTGTCAGTACAGTAATTAGGATACCTTGTTATTCAATGCTGTCAGTACAGTAATTAGGTTACCTTGTTACTCAATGCTGTCAGTACAGTAATTAGGATACCTTGTTACTCGATGCTTTCAGTACAATTGTCATTACTGAATGCCATCTGTAAATTTACTTTTTTTACATAATATGTCATTTTCATTGTTAAAGTACAGTGGCATTGTTAACAGATCAGCATGTGTGTGTTATATTTGTCGTAATAAATGAAATAAATCACAATTTGGAGATGACTGGATTTTGAGTTGCACAATAGTAATTTACTATCGTGCCAAATGAGTACATTCCATTACCACATGTACCTTATAATACCAGGAATAAGTAGCAGCTGTCAGTAGCATCCACAATGCAATGTAATTCGATTTTCAACGAATAGAATGCTTTATTATTTTTAGTTTTGCTCATTAGCATGTATTTGTTACGTATAATCTGATTGGTGGTTAGGGAACACATTCCAAGATGTCTTACTAGTCTTTCTTATTACAATTTACCTTGCAGAGTAGATTTCCACAGTTATTTACTACTATACATGTACATACTCAATTCCATCTTTGTATATCTGCACATTTTCACTCTTTACTACATTAAATACAGCATGTTTTAAAATTAAACAGCATGTAGCTTTCAATACCATGTATTTTACCCATCTTGTATAATAATGTAATTGGTGTGATGATAATGTACAGACCACACCCTCTGTTTCTGACTTTCAAATCTAAAAGAGTCTAAACCTTGAAACTTTAGTACATATTGAATTAAACATGTTACATCAAATTGATATCTCAAAATAATGTCTGAAAGAGAAAACAAGTTTCGGAAATGACTACTAATTGAGAATGCTTTTGTGAGGTCATTAACTGTATTCGTTCTATTTGAAGCCCATCTCTAATAGAAGTGTACATAAGCCAAAAATTGCATTTATTGTATGTAGAATACTCAAAATGATTTATTTTAACCGTATAACCCATTTGTTATTTATGTAAGCACTACTAATAGAGCAAATGTGGTATACTTGTTTGATGGAAGACAGGCATATGCCAAGGTGACCTGTACAGTTACTGTCACAAATGTAATCAATACTGATTTTGTTTATAAACCAGTTTGCCATGAAACTGAGAATAAATGTTTTCACATGCTGAAATCAGGATATGAAATCATGCAGGTGGTCTTGAACTCTGCAAATACTGGTTAACCGGTCTCCACTGAAAATAAAACTACATATGCTGTGTATAGAAACAACTCAAGGCTAGTAAACAATGGACATTTATGATTGATTTTCACATTATAATTTTTTAATAGTTTGTGATTTGTCAAATATGTCTGAAAAATTGCATCTTTTTTTTTAAATGATTACTACTACTATTAGGTTATTATTTTGTTGATGTTTGATAGCTTAAAAATTTAAAAAAGATTTTATAGTATTTTAATTTTGTCATTTATTAAAATTTGCGTATCTTAGATTGAGTGATTTCTAGCAAACTTTACAAAAATTGCATTGAGCCTCATATTCAGTGAAATTTATCAGCAGTCTTTAACTGATATGTGTACTATTGTAATGTTTAAAGTGTTAACTGTCTATTTCAATATTTAATTTTACAGGCTATACATTGCATGATATAAATTTGAGGTGGAGATAATAATGGTGACATATTTGTGTATAATACAAGACCTCTATGTGGCTGCCACACAATTCAGTTACTTAGTGTGTACCAGACTAAATATTTAAACAGCACAATTTAATTATTGTAAACTAGTCCATGTAGTTTGCTATTAAGTCACGTCAGTCTGTATTAGCCATATAACTTATTCTGTTAAGAGATTGTATATTGAGTCCAGAGCATTGACAACAACTGGCTGCACCGTATTGGATTGTATTGACCTAACTTGTTGGCTTAATCATGTAATATCCTAGTTTAGTTTTCTAAACTAAGCCCATGTATCATTCACATGTGACAATTTCCCAAAATTTCACCCGAAACATTGATTTGATTGAAAGTGATTGCTGGCATGTTTAGCAGCTTAATGTAACTGCACTATGTGGTTTAACACTATACTATCTAAACTATCGGTACCCCCCCCCCTTTTATGAATTCAAATTTCATGTAGAGAAGCCTTTTATACATGTTGTTACATGGGACCAATATTGAACATGATGCATTGCATAGACTGTGGCAGCTTACAAAATTATCACAGTAGTCTTCATTATTGTTGTCTATATATATTGTAGCTGACCACATTTAAATAAGGATTTTGACCAACCATATGTGTATGTCTATACACAGTGATCTAAGGTGCTGTACATCAACGTTATCTCCAGAGCTAAAATCATCCCGTGTCTGGAGTTATCAAGCAGGTGAAATAGATAAACAATGGTCATGATTTGTACACTTTGCGATTCACCCCCCCCCCTCCATGTTTAATTGCACCGTTCTGTGTTCATTCTCAGTTTTCTATGTAAAAATGAATTAGCATTTCCATTTAAAATATTGTATTTCTTTGATTTCTATGGATGTTGTCCTTAAAAATTGTGTTTGCAAATTATTTGAAAAGCCCATACGCATTATTGTGATGTTTGACTACTTGTGAAAGTACAAACTGGAATAAGGTTACATCATGGTGTTTGATGACTACTTGTCAAAGGTGAAAGTACAAACTGGAATAAGGTTACATCATGGTGTTTGATGACTACTTGTCAAAGGTGAAAGTACAAACTGGAATAAGGTTACATCATGGTGTTTGATGACGACTTGTCAAAGGTGAAAGTACAAACTGGAATAAGGTTACATCATGGTGTTTGTACTTTCACCTTTGACAAGTAGTCATCAAACTGGAATAAGGTTACATCATGGTGTTTGATGACTACTTGTGAAAGTACAAACTGGAATAACGTCACTGATTTATAATCACAGTATGCTATGGCACCAGAATACATCATTTGAATATGCAAGTTGAAGGTTACTGATCCATTTTAACATGTTTGTATGCATCTGTATTTCATTATGATGAA